GGAGCAAGGACGCTACTAGTAGATCCTGGCCTTACTACTAGTAACAAGAAGCTACGAGTAACAAAGGGTATCGCTACTAGGAGCAAGGACGCTACTAGTAGCTCCTGGCCGTACTACTAGCAACAAGAAGCTACTAGTAACAAAGGGCATCGCTACTAGGAGCAACGGCGCTATAGTAGCTCCTGGCCATACTATATACTAGTAACAAGAAGCTACTAGTTACGAAGGGCATCGCTACTAGGAGCAAGGACGCTACTAGTAGCTCCTGGCCGTACTATATACTAGAATCTAACAAGAAGCTACTAGTAACAAAGGGCATTGCTACTAGGAGCAAGCACGCTACTAGTAGCTCCTGGCCGTACTACTAGTAACAAGAAGCTACTAGAAACAAAGGGCATCGATACTAGAAGCAAGGACGCTACTAGTAGTATAGTAGCTCCTGGCCGTACTATATACTAGTAACAAGAAGCTACTAGTAACAAAGGGCATCGCTACTAGGAGCAAGGACGCTACTAGTAGCTCTTGGCCATACTACTAGTAACAAGAAGCTACTAGTAACAAAGGGCATCGCTACTAGGAGCAAGACACTACTAGTAGCTACTGGCCTTACTAGGACGCTACTAGTCGCTCCTGGCCTTACTAGTAGTGACAAGAAGCTACTAGTCACAACAGGCATCGCTACTAAGCAAGGATGCTACTAGTAGCCTAGTAGCTCCTGGCCTTACTACTAGTGACAAGAAGCTACTTGTCACAAAGGGCATCGCTGCTAGGAGCAAGGACGCCACTAGTAGCTCCTGGCCTTACTACTAGTAACAAGAAGCTACTAGTAACAAAGGGCATCGCTACTAGGAGCAAGGACGCTACACTAGTAGCTCCTGGCCTTACGACTAGTAACCAGAAGCTACTAGGTTCAAGGCGATCGCCTGTGCTACTAGGTTGAAGACAAACATTCAGGACGAGAGTTGTCATGTCCACACAACAACCCGAGCATCCGTAATTACTCTATATATACACATAATTACATACATGTCAACAAAAAACGGACACCATCGTATAACACATTCCGAATATTACCCATATCATAAATACAATAGTTTTTGTACAGTATGTGTTTGTTCTTCCTTGTTGGTACTGGGTATTGTCTGCTGTAGTTGCCGTAGGTTCTTCTCAACTGTTTTCATCTGGTAGACTCAGGTCCCTTTCCTTGAAAATGCTTGCCCTATCCATGTCAAGTCCAAGCATTTCAGCTTGTTGGAGCAGCCGGGTGGTCCCTGCAGCCCAGTGTCTCAACTGTGGAGTCCTCTGTGCTTCTGACTTGCCACGGCGGACTTGCTCTGGCATGACTCGCTGAGTCACCTCCGGCAGGACGCGCGTGCTAAAAGGCACGCTCTCGCACAGCGCGTTTTTGTCGACAGGAGACTTCATGTGCCGAATATGCACAGTTCAAAAACATCTGTTGAACTTTCACAACAAAAATCCGGCGTTAGACAGCCGGCAGACATGGAATCATGGCAGATCTTTTGCGGTGTCTCAGCGTAGAATATGATGGGGCGCAGGAGGTCTATTTCTACTGAGTGACTTTGGCAGTGTTTGTTTGACCTCTCTTTCTGCAGATTCGACTCTTGTTATCAAAAGGCAGCTCACCGGGCTGATGGCTTTGACCACTGTCTTTCACCCAACTTAGGCAGGCGCCATGGAAGGGTTCTTCACATCGAGTCGGTGCCCCCGGCGATTATACCAGAGAGGATGTGTCCACTGGATCTCCACCCAGGTCTGGTAGTCGTGGGGGTTGTAGTATTGAGCCTCAGGATCTGGCACGACCACAGGTGAAAAGTAAGAGGGTCAAAATCACTGTAATTAGTGAGGATTAAAATGTTTGCCCCGCGGAGTCTGAAAGAAACGATTTTTGAGATCAATAGAACATCGTTCGGCCTAACCCAGGGTTCAGAGGGAGTGCAATGGCCGAAACCTTGTCCACAGTTTTCGCACACAAACACCTCCCCCAGCAGCATGCAAAGCCGGTGGCTCACAGAAAGACACTGTTTCTGTTGCAAGGTTTTTGCTCCTGCTGATCTTTAGACAGGTCATGACTCGGTCATGACCGCAGTAGGTGGCAATTGCATTCTCCAGCAACCTAACCGGAATGTGGAGTAGGGTTCCGCAGGAAAGCATCTATATAGTGATCACGTTAAGCATCCCAAACACAAAGAGACAATTCTGTCTAGATTGTGCTGCCCGTTGTGTGTGTGTGTGGGGTGTGTTCATCTCACCAATCTAAAGCCAAACAATGATCGCAGCAAGTTGCTACATTCTCCACCCGCCAAAACGAGACATGGAGTAGGGTTCCACCTAAAAGTATCCGATTTCGTGGCACGCCACCATGTGCAGATTTCCTAGCGTGAGAGGTGGCTTTGGGGGGAGAGCACACCGCACATAAAACCAATGGTCTGCCTTTGTCCCTTCCCTTCCCTTCCCTTCCCTTCCTTTCCTTCCTTCCTTCCTTCTTTTTTGACTGATCCTGATATTGTTTGTTGATCTTGATGATATTTGTTCATAGACAATCATATTTTCTTATACCCGTGCCACATACATGTGCATGTGTTCAATGTGTGCATATATATATATACATATATGTGACATATGTGTGTATCATATAAAGTTCTATATATATACTATATGATGCATTTCGGATCGGAAAGAAAGCTGAGGGGTTGGTCTAAAGAAAAGAAAGACCCAGAAACAAATTATATAAATGATGGAAAATAGGGGTCTGAAGGATTCAAGAATTCTTAAGGTCTCAAGACATCTTAGCTGTCTGGAAGATTGGCGAAGGCAGCGGTGCATAAATGACGGTGCGGCTGTGGTCCATCTTCTTTCCAAGCAGCGTCCCAGTTTGCATTGACCCGGGCAGTGGTCCAGCCATCGGTCTTTCCTACACCTCGAGTAGCAGACCATCCATCGCTCTTTCTGCTTGGCAGATGGAAAGAGAAGACTTCCAAGAAAACTGGGAGGTTCTCAGCCGCTGAACTTACTGATGTCGAACGTTCTGCAGTATAGAAGAAATGTGCAGTGTAGCAGAGTGCAAGGGTCAGTGTGTGCAGTGTAGCAGAGTGCAAGGGTCAGTGGTCCAGCAGTCAACTTCCAACAATCACAATTCAAAAATGATATCTGTTGGTTGACTCGATACTGGGCCATCCTTGGCCCCGCAAACGAAGTCGACAATCTCAGCCCGGATACTGGGGTGCAGAACTCCCGATGTGCGATGCTGGACCATAAAGTATCCATTCGGGTCTTGTCCTAGGCTGACGCCGCACCCAATGCACACGAGAGACATGCACGAGCCGCTGGGGTCTCGTGTCCGGCAGCTCTGATCGAATGCACATGATGTAACAAATGGCCTCCAAAGAAGAGGAGGTTCCAAGGAATGCTCGACTCAAGTATTGCCTATGGCTACATCCGTACATGTCATTTTACATGGCAGAAGCTTCCCACGCCAGAGCGCCCAACTAACAAAGCCTGGAAACTGTATCGGTGGAAAACATCAACCGTCTCACCAGCACGTAGGGAGTTCACAGTGATCTGCGGTCCTGAGCAGAGGCAAGAGCTCACAACATCTCACAACAACCAAATGGACTTGACATGGCACCATGCTTTGTCAAAGGAAGAGATGTTCTCCACAGATACAAAGTTTCGTCCTTGTTGATGGCTCCTCAATGCAAAACTGTTGCTATAACTAGCAATAGAAGGACCATCGGAATCCTCTGCAAGCAACAAATGACGGCATGCGAGTTTTTCCACCAATCTACTGAACGCCCAGGCTCCTTCCCCATTGTCATGGTTCTGATGGTATCCTGAGTCAACTGCAAGCATTTTGGGGCAAGCTAGGACAACCAAAGCTTGACTAGAACCCCGGAAGCAATCACATGTTGCTGCTAGGAAGAGTCAGCTGCTCTCCCTATTGGCTGGGGTATCTCTTGTTGTGAAGGTGGGTGAGCAACTGTTCACCAGTTCTTACTCCTGCCAATGGCCAATGGCACTCAGTGGCAGTAACCTCAAGAACATCAGAATACGAAACACAATACTATGTTAATATGTTTCCCCAGCCGTGCCCCGCACTGACTTCAGTCATATAATGCAGGGCGTTGGCGTAGCCAAAAGAAGCCGTGGCATATTTACATATCAGAAAGTTCGAGTGAGGGCTGCATTATAAATTCGTGAGTCTTCAGCAACAGTTTCTGTGTAATCATAACCACCTAAGATATGTTCAAAAGTATGTTGTTTGGCGTAATGCAGCCAGTTTTGTCTCGGGCGACCGACTCGTTTTTTCCCACAAGAAACTCTGAGTGCACAATTATATACAGTGTGTGTATATATATATATATTGAGATATATAATGATATATATATATATATTGAACAGTTGCGACATTGGCAGCCTTGTAAAATCAGCCAGGAATGGAGCCGTGTCAGTTCCGTGCGCTTCAGTGGAACTTTTCCTATGTTGAAGCCATCACCCCGCGAATGCTTCATTGCATGCAAGGGGCCACCCTTTCCGGCTTTACCTCGCAAAACAGTTGATGAGACATTGAACAAAATGTCAAAAAGCCGACTCGGAGAAATTGTACATATGACTTGTCACTCTTTGAGGAAAACACATGTATCTAAAATAGTTGCTTTTACTGTGTTCTTCTGAGACACCCTTTCCATAGTATGGACCATGTCCATAGCCGCGGCTCATGACCGCAATCCCTCGATCGCGGCAATTAATTTCCCAACATGTAACTTGAGCCGACATGGATTTGGAGCAAAAATCATCAGACTTGCGCAGGCTCAAGAATTGACATCTAAAGCTGTGAGCACTGCCATCAACATGTGAAACTCAGCAAGTGTGCCCGACATCCACAGCTGTGAGTCTTTCATTGTCAGTTCCACTTTAGACTTCCTGTTTAGTTGAGATCCGCCATGATCGACCCAAAGACTGGGAATATCTGGGAATCGCACTCTTCAATCCGGTTTCTTCGATCTCCTCGGTCACCTCCAAGCTGCCATTGTCCCCAACAACCCATGGAGCAGTAAGTGCAGCCATGTCCTATATCGGACCCGTCCAGCCCCAGAACAAGGTGCAAGGTGTGCAAGCTGGTGATTGAACTCCCCCTTTGGAGCACTACCATGACTCCATAAGAAACGAAAAGTCTTGCTCAGTAACATTCAGTAACTAAGAGCAAGGGAGGGCGTGAACTCCTTGTTTCATGGAAACCCCAAACCTGAAGGTTGTCTGAAGGCTCTTGAGGGCCATGGGTCAAACCTAACCTCCTAATGGGATGCAATCTACATCACGTTTTTGTCGTCTTCACCAGTGCAGACATACAATAAGCCCAGCGACACAGTGTCACACGACCCTCCAATCGCTGCAAGCTCCATCATCAAAAGAGAACACTGAGGAACCAGTGGAGCCTCCATCGTAGTAGTCATGACTTTCTCGATAGCCGCTGTAGCCACGGTCATAGCCACCTCACACCATTGAACTTCGACCCTCGCATGAGCACTAGTTCTTTCAAGTCCAAGCAACCTGAGCGACTTCGCTGGTCATATCCTCAGTGTTGGCAAGGCCCTCCAACAAATTACTATATAGGTTCCGGTCTCATGCAACGCCAATCAGGTGTCAGGACCAGTTGAGGAAAGAACTGCCTTCAACATCGACCAACTTGTCTCTCCAAGAACAGAACCTGTGGCCAATCACCAAAAAGGTAGAAACCTTTGATGAGATTGCACCGTTTCTTACATCCTGACGTATAGTGTATCCGCACTAACTCCACCACATCTCTAGTCTCATGCTGGCCCTGTGGGGTGAAAAAGACGTCTGTCGTGAAACTGGCTCTTGGTCTTGCGTTCTTTGGTCTTGTTGGCACCAGGAGACAAGATGTCAGTCTTGCTGCGTCTGGTCGTCATGTCGCCAACATGATGACACGGTTGGACGGAAGAGAGGACAATGCGAGGACAAGAAGAGGCCAGGTCCGGCAATGTTTTGAGATGAGACTTCGGAGACGGTAGTAACCAAACGCAAGTGAATTTGGCAGTTGTCTCGGGCACCCATCGCAGAAGTGAAAAAGGAAAGAAACGAAAATGTGGTCGGTGAGGAAATATAAAGAATGAAAGGATACGGAGCGCGTTTTCAACCGCAAGCTTGGGCCTGTATGGCCGTCGGGTTTGTTGTGCATGCGTGCCATGCCTGACAGACTGAACCTTCATGATGCAAATCCTGTCACTCCTCCTTCTGTCAGGCAAAGCTTGCGTAGCCGGATTCCTAATGCCCCTGCAAAATGCGGGCATGCCTGGGAAAAATGCAGAGTCTTTCCAGCTGGTGTCATTCGAAGCTGGTGCAGGCGTTCTTCAAGCCTGCTGCTGTACTTCTCTGCGATTTCCCTTTCTTTCAAAAAATCACCCTAGTTTTCTTTCATACGTTCCACCTGTGCCTCAAGTTCATCTATGTAAGTCCCCTTGGAAAAACATTCAAATTCCAAGGCTTTGATCTTGTCTGTACATTTGGCACAGGGTTTCGCATCAAGCCACTGTGAGGCTTGGATACCGCTATCCTTCATTTCCGCTCTCACACTCTTGTAGGTGTTCTTCATCTGAATCGTGGTCTTCTGAATGCTCTGCAAGAAGACCCCAATGCCCTTCACCAGAGCATTTGCATAGTCGCGCAGCCATGCGCATAGGCTCAAGGCCCCAAGCAATGCACATAGGCAAAATGCCCACCAGCTAAGGTCAATCCTTTGATCTCCTGGTTGTCCTTCTTCAGCTGGTTCACCGCTTACCTTTCCAAGGTTGGCCATGAGCATCAATAGACCAATCCTCAGATCTTTGCTCTTGTTGAACTTCTTTAGGCTCATCTTCATCTGGTACTCTTTCTCGATCTCCTGGAACTCCTCTTCTCCCACGCGGTCACCCACGGCGTCGATCACTCCCATCATGTAGAGCAGCCCACGAAGCCTCTTCTTTGGCAGATTCTTTGCGCCGATATCTGCGCTGTTCAAGTCTGTTGGAATGGGACCCACCTGTATGATCTTGTCCCTTTCCTTTTGTTGGATCCATAGCATTGCCGCGTCCATGTGGCGCACTCTTCCAATGCCTTGTCTCTGTGTCATCCCACGCGCCGCTGAGCTGTCTGATCTGGCCTTTGTTCTGCAGCTGCCACCTGTGATCTGATTCCACAGGTGTCGTAGGAGCATCCCCTCTGAGCATCCCGACACCAAAGCCATGAACTCGCTTTCACCTGAAGACAAAGCTATGGCCTTTTGACTTCGCACTTTGCTGTCAATCAAGTTGCCGTCCAGGTACAGCTGCATGGATGTTGTGGACTTTCTGTCATTCTTGTTCCCTGCGTGGTCTGAGTCTGTCACAATCTCCAGCAGGTGTTCCTCTCCATCTTCCACCTCAGCTCCATCTCTGAAGTCCATCATTGACTGTCCCTTCTTCTTCTCTTCCAGTCGGACTCCATAGCCGCTTGCGCCGAACATGTAGGAGCATGTATGCCAGGCATTCTGCAGAGCTTGCTTTGTTGGTTTGGCCATGTGCCTTGCCAAACATTGGATTGCATATTGTGCATCTGGTCGCTCTCCCGCCATGTACATCAATCTTCCAACAATGCTTCTGTACCTTGTGACCTCACTGCTCTCCAACAACTCTGAGTCATCCTTCTTTCCGAAGTTGGCATCCAGCGGTGTCTTTCTGTAGAACTTTGCATAGATGTCCACGTCTTTCTCAAAGCTGTCGAACTGTTTCCTGTCGCACCTGATGTCGCAGTGGGTTCTACCAAGGTTGAACTGCCTCTTCAGGTAAAAGAACTTGTCTCCGTGGCTAAACGGTCCTTTCTCTTCTACATTCCACTGTTTCTCCTCCTTGAAGTAGCGCACGAGGTCTCTTACCTTGTCCTCTCTCCCAACGATGAACACGTCATCAACATGTACCGTGAGGTAGATGAGGTGCCTGATGAACATCAGCGTTGGTTGCATGGATCTTGCTCAAGTCCATGTTCTCGACAGGCTGAGGCGAACAGCTGGAACCACTGTGATGCTGCTGTTCGTTACTGTGATGCTGCTGTTCGTTGTCCTGATAGGCATCTCAAAAGTTTGAATATGCGGTTGTCAACCTGCGCATAGGCTTTCTCAGTGACAGGTTGCTGTTCCATGAGGAAAGCATCTTTGATGTCCAAAGTGACTACCACGAACTCCCTTCTGACGTTGAGTAGGTAGTGGATGAGCAATTTGGGTATTGCCATGATGGATGTGGGAGCGAATGTGGCATCAAGTTCTATGCTATTTCTGAACTGTCTTGCTACCAATCTCGCACGCCGCCTGAACCATCCTCCTTGCTCGACCCGGTGCTTCCAGCATAGTACCACCTTGGCGCTGGTGATGTAGCCTCCCGTCTCATCCACCTCTGTTTGGTTTGTCTCTGTCATGGCCGGCATGTTGATCATACGCTCTATCTCCTTGTCACGCGCGGCCTTGTCCAGTAGTTCTAGCTCTTCTGCTGACGCTTCTGGAGGATCATCACCTTCTTCTCCTCCATAGCTCCCCAAATACTGTTCTTCCAGTATCTCCTCGGGCAGCAACTCTGGATCCATTTCTTCATCTCCATGTGGCTCCTTGACATAGGCCCCAACTGCTTCAATTCCTGCGTAATGAGGAGGATACAGATGTTCTACAGCGTGAGTCGGAGACATTCTTGGTGATCCTGCAGGCTCATGCATCCCATCTTTCTCCTCCTCCATCTTTCCTTCTTCATCCAACCGTCTCTTTGTTGGTCCAGCTGTTGGAGTCTTTGGCGCTGCTGTTGAACCACTCATCGTAAGTGTCACACCTGGTGTGGCTGGTTGTGATTGTAGTCCAGGTGCTGGTGTCACCACTCCAGTTGCCACTTCTTGCGCAATCTCCTTAAGCTCTTCCTCACTGGCTTCCATCTCAATTGTGGGTTGTCTGTACCGTTGCGCTTGGCCTGCATGCTTCATTAGGATTCCTTGCGCAGAGTAGCTCCATGGTAAGCCTTTTGCTGTGAAGATCTCGGGCCCGCTGAAGCTCTCCTCTGGTGACAACCTTCTGATCGTACGAGCTTCGTAGGCCCCAGTAGTTGACAGCACGACATGATTGTCGTTCCATGGATGTTTGGTCACCCAAACGCCTTTCTCGAACACTGCGCAGCCCTTGTTGCGAATGGAGCGCTTGAACATCACACTCTCCCCAAACAATGCCAACTTCCCTCTGTATGGATGTCCAGTGCGAAGCTGGTGCGGTTTGAGCCATCCAGAACTCGAAATCTGTTGAACGAAGCATGTTTGAATGCCCATGGGAAGATGTCAAAGTTCCCGGCGATGTCAATCCTGGCTTTATCTTCTGCATACCACCTCAGGCAGTTTGCCATCCTCCTGATCGTCTGAACAGCTCGCTCCACTTGTCCATTTGAGGCGTGTTGGCCGGCACCAGTGAGTCGAATCTCCGTCTTCATCCCCAGCACACTTCGGACTTGCTGCACTGATCTGAGCAGCTGCCGAGTGGCTCGCTCACTGTCGGCCTGGATGATGCATGGTTCTCTTGCTGAGTTCTCAAGCGCAAACCTCACAATCTCCTCCGTCAGGGTCTTCAGGCTTGCAGTTCCCTTTGAAGGTACTGGTACTGC